CCACTACCACTACCACTACCACTACCACTACCACTACCACTACCACTCTACTTACCGCAACCGCAACCGGGCAGCAGCAACACCACAAGCGACACCAGAACGAGGCGCCTTGTATGACGTTGGCAAAGATCATGGCGATTGCAGGAACACTTTGCTTGCATTGTGGAGGAGCCCGCAGTTCGATTTGGGCCACGCAACCGAGCAAGCAACCAGCAAACCACATCTGGTCTCTCCGGTCTAACCCTGCGCAACCACCAAAGCTGTAAGCAAAAAGCAAACCACAGCGATCCCTTACCAGCAAACAACATCTGGTCTCCAACACAGCTGCTGTCTAGACTTTGTTTGCATCGCGGGGGAGGCGCTGCGCCCTCCCCGCACCCCCTCCCGCTTTTGAATTTGGACTACGCAATTGAGCAAGCAACCAGCAAGCCCGGCGCAACCACCAAAGCTGCAAGCAAAAAGCAAACCACAGCGATCCCTTACAAACCCTGCACGCAACTTTGTTTGCATTGCGGGGGAGGCGCTGCGCCCTCCCCCGCACCTCCTCCCGCTGTTTAATTTGGACCATGCGACCGAACAAGCAACCAGCAAACCACATCTGGTCTCCAACAAAGCTGCTGTCTAGACTTTGTTTGCATTGCGGGGGAGGCGCTGCGCCCTTACCACCAACAACAGCAATAACCACGACGACGGCGACAACGACGACGACCACAACAATTGCAACTACAAGTGCAACTCCGACTCCTACTCCGACTCGAGCTCCTCGTACTGCTACTGCTACTACCGCTACTACTACTACCACCACCACCACTACTTCCGGTGGGCACACAGCGGTAAGGGGGTTCCACAAATTTAGCAAGAACATGTTGCGCAGCAAGTTGAAAGATACACTTTTGGGCCTCGTCGACATTTTCCCATGACGGCATGGCATTGAAAGGGGAGACGATTGAAAGGGGAGACCAAGGTCAAATTGAGCCAAGACCAACTGGCATGACCAAGTATGGGGCAAAAGGCGACAAAAGGAAAGAGACTGGGCCACAACCAAGGAATACTAGAAGTAGTGACGGAGCTAGTTTGACCAAGGAATACTAGAAGTACTAACGGGGCTAGTTTGGCATTGGGCACCATCTGCTAGCGCAATTGCTTACAGGATGCAAGCACCACAAAAGGAAAGAGACATAGCGGCAGGAACCCTAAATACCGTGGAGGGAACCCAAAATCACCTAGGGAACCCCAAAACCGATTGCGGGAACCCAAAATAACCAAGGGAACACAAAATCCGATTGTGGGAACCCAAAAACTGATTCTTTAAAAAAAAGGCGCTAGGGAAGGGAAAGTCGGAATCTGGGAACTGGAAACACCCAACCCCACAGGGGCCCCACAGTCTGCTTCACCTCACAGTCGTCCAGTGATCGGTCTTGTCAGTGCGGGTGTAGGTGTAAAACGGACCAGGCCTGTAATTCCAGCTCCAATTCCTGCATCTTGTTTGCCCCGCCTGCGATGGCATTCGGCTCTTCGTTGTGTGTGTGGCGACAGGACTTTGCAAGTTTAACAGTGGAGGAACACCTGCGATGTTTTGCTTTCTACCGACAATCCACTATGGGTCTTTCCAGAAGCAAAAACTGATGCAAAAGTAGAAGGCCCTTATGTGGCTTTCGGCTGGCTGTGGAATGCAGGTCCTCTGCACTGTTCGAGAGAATTCATGGCTCTGTGTAGCTTTGGGTAAAACCCTTTGGGGCTCAAAGGCAATCGACTCAGCACCAAGAGAGAATGAAAAGATCATTTGGCAGGATGAAAATGAATTGTTACAACTGTGCTCTTTTGGTCGAGTGCCCCACGTAGTGCCCCACTGCTCATAGTGGAAGGGTCTATGTAGGGCGCGATGTGGAATCGCTCTTTCGGTACGGTGTCGAGCGGTGTCGAGCTTGCACCCACAGCGAGCCGAGCTTTCGTCATCGCTGCTTCGATGCAGGAAGGTCTACCTTCGACATCTTTGCCAGAAGGAATTCTGCTTGCGCATGAATTCTGCTTGTCACAGGGGCCACAAACATAAACATGATTGAAACGAAATCCAAACCGTGAACCTGAAAAGCGGCACCATTGGCTTTGGGCCGAATCCGCCTCCCTAGAGGAAAAACTCTTGGTGGTTCCATGTGATGTCCACCTGGTACCACTGGCTGATTTCTATTTAAGTGCACCCACATCTGTCTCTAATGCCATACCCTTGGGAGGTGTCAACTTTCCGGAGCCCCCGTAGAGTGTCAGTGTCGTGTCACCTGTGGCCGTATCTCAGTCCTACTAGGGCACTCAGTTGTGCCATCTGTGGCATCAAGCAAGCCAACAGAAAGCAAATGGAAAAAGTGATTAAAGTGATGTCCTTTTGGGAAGGAATAGAGGAGTCGGTTTGGTACCATCGTACACTTGGGGTATCCTCTTGTACACACTCTATGAATCAACCCAAGGGCATAAGCCCATTTCGATGCAAGGACCACTCTCCGGTCAGTGTTCATTCACTTCCGCTTGGACTTCTGTTCCGCTTCGTCTGGGCCGCATCACTCAGGTCCCCAACGAACACACGCCCGTACACGACCCGTCGTACACGACCCGTCGTACACGACCCTTCGCACGCGACCGCTGCCTGTCTTGGGTTTGTCTTTTTTCCGCTTCGAGGACGGACCCGCCGTGCTCGCTGGTGGTTTGCTAGGGCCAAAATGGCTGCCATGTTGGAGAGATCGAGATCGGGGCTGCGACACCTCCACCAAGCAAACCGTAGTCCGTGTTGAACTATGTATATATGATATACGAGCGTAGTATGTAATATAGATCCGATATTTTCTGGGGGTTGACATCTGATCTGGGGTTTGCTAAAGCTCCAGGATTGCATCACACTCCCCAACAGGTATCTTGAAGGTTGCTACATGGAAAGCTCATCTTCTATAGTCGGTATCCTGTTCTGGCCTATCCTGTTCTCAGTAGCAGCTTGTCACATTCACCATCACTGCAGCTGGGAGTCAGACCTGACCACCATGCACATCCACTCATCGGAAGGGGATGGGAGGGACCCAATGTGATCGACACCAGGTGTAGTAGGTAGGGAGCTTCTCACATTGCGCTGCATCACCAATTGCAAAAGGGGGCTTCTCACATTTTATTAGCTGTAAGAATCAGTGATTGACCATGCTTTCGCAAAAAGACCTGTTTCGGCGTCCAACTTGACTGGCGCGTCCCCGAACAAACATGGGATGAGACGGAGTGTGCAAAAAGAAGCGCTTGAAGGGACATGTGACACTCGTGCCTCCCACTCCATCTTGTTTTCTCAACCAAAAGACCCTTCTCATCAAACTTACTGAACTCACAAAAGCCGTTCAAGATCATCCACAAATCTCCCACGTTCATCGTTCATCCCTCTTCCAGTCTTGAATCTCTTCTCCCATCACCTGGAAAAGTGGTAAACATGAATAACCGTAGAAGGAGCACCAGAAGGAGCACCAGTACCGAGGCCTCGTGACGATTCGTGAAGAACCGTCTTCCGCTCTTGACCTCGCTCGCTCGACCGGGAAAACCGTCCTTCAGGTCATTGAAGCCCTTCACCGTGTTGTCCACGAAGAAGATCAACTCCTGGCGCGCGAAACCGCGGCACCACACGGAGACGACGAACGCGGCACGAACCGGGACCACGGAGACGAACGCGGTCGGGACGTTGGGCTGATCGAATGGACAGACATGGACAAGCCAGCAGCGTGAGGCTCGAGCTACACCCATGTGGGTGTAGCTTCCACCCACGTGGATTGGAGCTCTGAGGCTCTAGACCTCCATTTGGATGATCATCACGGGAATCCAATCAATTCTTGGATGGACCTTCTCAAAACATGTCCGAGTTGTGGTCTCAGAGGTTCGATGGCACTGGCACCCCGTTCGATGGCACTGCCGACACGGGGGTTATAAACCACCGAACTTGGGGGTCCCAGACGTGCCATCGAGCCTCTCCATCCACCGAAGTGAAGCTCAACCGACCCCTCGCCATGCGGATTGAGCCGAAGGAGCTCGTGGAGGCCCGTCCCTTCTGCCGCGACCTGCCGCGACCTGCTTTTCGACCAGGGACTCCAATCTGAAAGTTCCTGAGGCGTTTCAAGGAACTCACCTGGTTAAGGCACTTGTTACTAGAAGCGATGCACTTGTTACTAGTAGCGTTCCTGGTCTTTCTTCACCTCAAGGGACCAACTGTCCCCTCCGTCCCTCCATCTGGCTGGGCCGAACCGCAGCGGAAAAGGGGTGGGGTGGGTATCATCGAGCGCTCCTGGTGCTTCTCCTCCTGGATCTCCTTGGCTGCCTGAGTTGGAAGAAACGAAGGCCCAAGGCCTTAAAACTAACATCATGGGCCGGGTGTGGAGAATAACCTCCCAGGCGATTGAACGACCCCGTGGAAGAAGGGAAATTACACCAGTCTACCCAGCCAGCGCCGGTCTCCCTTTCAAAATACACACACACACACACATGGGCTGTGCTTGGTTTTTACTCGGTGGTACTTTTGCTTGTCAAATTGGTCAATACACACCGTAGGTGGGGAAGTTATGTAACATCAGAGAAGCAGATGAATGATGTGCATGTCATCAGCAGTGGAAACCAAGTACTTCTTCCATCCCTGCCAGCTTGAGCAGCCTCATATCCCTTTTCTATACCCCAATCTTCGGTACCCATCCCAGACAAAAACCAACCTGGATCACTTCCCCCCAATAGACAAATTGAGCAAAGTCTTTGTGTGAACTACTCTCCATTGAAACATTCCAGTAATGGGAGTACCCAATCTGCAGTCCCCACTTGCCATGAACGGTTAAAAGTGCTTCCTATTTCTGACTCTTTCAGAGTCAGTCCACTCCGCTGCCTTGGCGTCCCGCCAAGGCCCGCGGCGTCCCCACCTGCACGTTCACCTCGAAGTTGGCCACGGCGCCTTCCGCCTCTTTCAGCGCTGCCGCGGCCTCGCAGTCGCTCCGAACTCGCGACCGAACTCGGCGCGTCCGCGCGGCGGAACTCGGCGGTTCGCAGCGTGAAGACTTGACGGGTCTGAAGGTTCGACCCCACTGGTTTTTGGAGCTCATGTCGAATTGGCCTTATGAGTCAATGCGTGGTGGCCTCAGCTCCTGGCGGTTTTTTGTTCCTGTTCTTTTCTCACCCACTGGGTTGAGAAAGTCGCACTCCACCTTGTAGCAAAAGCCCCCACGCCTGTCATCAACACCTTTGCGTTCACCCCGGCTGGAGGTGTGCCAACGGTTTGGAGGTGTGAAGCTCAAGTGAACCTTTGCCATAAGTGTCTTTCCACCACGCTTCTGGCGCCAGGAAGATGGACTAGACTAGACCGCCAGCGTAGTTGGACATGCCTACCGCCCGCCGCGGTTTGGATCAAAACATCCAATCTGACCTCTTTCACGGTCTGCTTGGCAGCCAGCAATTCGCTGGAGCACTCCTCACCCGCAACTTGCGGAGGGCGCGGTGTTTGACCCAGATTGGACTGAACGAACAAACCCTTTACAGAAGATCCATGTTGGCAAAACACCCCCGCTTGCGGAAGCAAGGCCCATTCACTTTCACCACCATTTGTTCCGGAGTGTTCAGGATTCCCTTGCAGAGGTGCGCTTTGGAGGAAGAGGCATCATCAGGTTTTGCTGCCCAGGAATCTTCAAGCCTGGTGATATATGGTAGGGGACATCTCCCAGTTCGACCCCCTGCAAGAAAAGAAATCGACCAGTCTACCCAGTGGGCCAGAGGGTCTCCATATTGAGAACACACACCCATATTGATTTCACAAAATGCCCTGGCCCGTCGACCGCTGCTCCACTCGATCGCTGCGCATTCGGTCCCACTAGAAGCGGAGATCGGGGTGAACACTCTCCGCCAACCCCCTTCCGTGAAAACTGCAAACCCTACTATCCCCCATATACGGTTCATTCAAGACCTCTTGGAAGACCCCGAGAATCCACATAGACCATCTGCGACTAAATGATGAGCTCCCTGCACTATTCACTACCTCAAGTAGGATTTCTGGACAGCTCCTCCTTCCACAGACTTCAACAGCACCCAGACGGATTATGTATGGAATAGCTGCACATGCATACATCTACCGACAGACCTCATTTGTGACCCAGAACCAGCTCACTTGACCGTACATGAACGCTTTTGCGGCTCCTTCTGCTTCTCCTCTGCTTCACCCAGCTTTGCGTTGGCCTCATCCACCGCCAGTTTACGTGCCTGGCCGAAGACAGCCACCCCCGCAGACAGCTGTGAAAGAGTTCCCATTCGAAAGCTGCCGGGAACAACATTAGGTTGGAGACCCTGGGACGCAAATCAAGATTGCGTTCATGGTTCTTTCCGAACAAACATTGTTTTACTAAGGGTTGTTGTAGACTAGAACAACCAGGTCAACCATGTGTTTAATGGTCTTGGGGCAGTTAGGGGAATAGGCTTTTCCAAGCTTCTTCGGTTCGTCTCTTTTCATAGGAAGACTCCCCCGAGTCCTCTTGCCCCTGGCTGCGTAGACAACCGAACCCAGAGGTTGCAATGCCCGGGAGGTCTCCCAGGCATTGAGCCACACGCCCGTTCTGGTTGCGCAGTCCCAGCTGGCGACAGGGCGCGAAGTGTGACTAGGGCTCATCGCTCAGGAGAGCCTCAATTCCTTCATCTCCCACGAAAGCGAAGCAGTTCAGTGAGTTTCTCCGTAGATCTAGGGGATATGGCAATATGATCTGCCATATGTCTATATCTGAAAGGGGAATCCTTGAAATGTCCCCCCCTTGGCCACACAAGGAAGTATATACATCGATGAAAAATCCTTTGGCTTCATGCTCCCTCAGTAACCTCTTTCATCCCCCTTCCCTTCCAACACAGATTCTTGCTGCATCCGCACCTGGCGTTCAGGAGCTCCCTGCTGCAGAATACCATCCAGCGACTGCAGCTTCTCCTAGGAGTTTCTGCTGGAGATGCACCTTTCAAATAGAAAGGCCCTATAGCGGGTAAACTATCTATCTTGATGCATATGGAGATGACCAGAAACACTACTGTAGTGGTAAATGTTCAATGGATTTGTGGAAAAAACTCCTTTCATTTTGCCTGTGGAAAAATCTCGCAACCGATGGGTCACAGGTCACACCTGACCGCCTCAGAAACCATATGTACTGTACATATAAATATATATGTATACAGTATATAGTAGTGTACAGGAACTACGTGCATGTGTATACATATATATATATATATATATGTATTATGGCCTCAATGCATTGAACGGACATGGGAACACCTGGGGCGTCCAGAAACGTTGGAGCCAAGTCAAAACAACCCCAACAACGATCCAGCAACGTTCAAGTTGCTGCATGTCCGTCCTGAAAGCCCTTCTCCAACTGTTCCAGGACCATCGTATCGAAGCCCGCACGCTCCGACGGCTTCTTCCGCAGGACCTGAACACGTCGGAACGGCTTCGCCGCGGCGTGCCGCGCGAAGCAGGTGAGCCCATTGATGCTTAGCATGTTGGGTGCTCTCTTGCAGAGCAAAGCTTCCTTTTAACTGAGATACCCTTGGTCCAAAAAGGAAAAGGCATGGGAAAAATAGAGGCAGCCGCTCTGTGTGCCGCTCTGTGATCCTCCCAGCGCGGTGCCGCCGTTGTCTGGGGTCTCCGAGCAGGGATCATCGCAGTCTTCAAGGACTCCTCCAGAGCGGTAGAGTTCGGAGTGGGCGAGTTCTTAGTACAGAACTGGATTTCGGTGATTAGGAACTGGATTCAGGTGGTCGAGTTCTTCCTCCAAACAAGACTTAAGAGTATATATGAAATTCCCACGCGGCCAACTATAGTCAAGAGTGCTAGCGGACGGACCACGGATATTTGTGTGCACAGCGGCCGTGGGCCGGCTTGGTCACTCTTCACTGGATTTCGGTCGGTGAGGAACCCTCGAGAGACCCGACCCGAGCAGGAGGGGTTCATGCTCCATGCGTTCCCACTCTGTGTACCGGTGCCAGGTCCGCGCGGCAGGTCACGCCGCGGTGGGGTAGACACGCACCCGCCACCTCCAAGTCCAGCTTGGCGCTGCAGGGCTCCAAGGCCTGGACGTCTCTGGACGGCCGCACCGAAGAAGGGAAGCGGCCAACCAATCAAGAAACATCTCAGAACTTAATAAGATGATTAAGAAAAATTAAAATAGAACTGATATGGTGTCTCTATATGTTTCTCATATCATGTATCATAGTTCTCATATCAAAGGACTGGAGCCAGGTTCTTCAGTCAACTTTTCTTGGCCTCATGATGCCCCATGCGAAACGAAAACGAAGGGCCCCATCTGTATGGCTTGCTCCTGTGAATGTGTCTCTCTGAGACTTGCCCGCATCGTTTGACCAATTCTCCGAGTTCACACGGGAAAATGGCAGCGCTTCGGTGCGTTTTTCATGGCGTTTGAATGGCTTCCATCAGCTGCCACGAAGAGACCTCTTCGGCAGCGAAACTCCTTGGGCGCCAGGCACCACCTCCTGTATGTACTTTCAAGTAAGAACCCCAATAGCAATAGCTCGTGCAGGAGCTGGTTTGAAGCTGGTATTGGGGTTCTTCAAGAATAGCTATTGCTATTGGGGTAAAAAAGTTTGGCAGCTGGTTTGAAGAATAGCTGGCTTCCTCCAATGCGACCGACGAGGCGCCGCGCGAGACGAGGCGCCCTGTGTCCGAGGAGGTGCTCAACGGATTCCAACGGTTTCATTCAATCGAGAGGGTTTTTTATTTGCAGGTTTGCTTGGATGATCCTGCAGGGTTACTATTGCAGGTTTGCTTGGATGATCCTGCAGTGTTACTAGCCCTGCTTCGCTTACTGACCCTGCTTGTTGAAGAACATCTGTTTTCTAAATGTGTCCAGAAACGACCTCTACTTCCTCAAGTCGCTTAACATGCCTTCACCCGACGCCCCCGTTCGACACCACCCTTCACCACTCGTCACCCGTACACGCCTTCAGATGGGAATCCGGCGACTCCGTCCAGTCACCAGCCTCGTGGCGACCGTGGCAGACATCGGCTGTGGGATGAAGACACCGGAGCCCAGTAAACCACAAGTCCAAATTTTATGGAAAAGGATGGAAAGGATGTTGAAGACTATATGTTTTTCCCCTCTTCCAATGGGCATCCTTCCCATGTCACATTAGAAGAAAGGACATGGCTGTGGGTCATAGCACCGGGCAACCCTGGTTGACCACAGGTCGCTGAACAGAAGAGATGTCACCAGACATGGTCAACCTCCGTCAAAACGAGCTCCGGGTGCGACCCACAGCCACATCAATGGGAGTATCTGAACCAATTCTTCTGAGAAAAACCGACACTCAAGGTACCTGACCTCAAGGTGTTGAAGTTGGAGTTCCAATCCGGGCTCGTTCTCCGGACATCCGGTGTGATTCTCGGAAAACCTGTGATTACCGGTGCTTCCTTTGTCCTCCATCCACCAGCCATGAACAATCTCTTCGAATCTCGGAGCTCGGAATGTGTTTTACATGAGTCCTGTGCCAACATGTCCGCTGAAAACAACCCACAAAACCACTGGAGCGGCGGCTTTGAGGTTCTGGAAGTCGCCCTTAAAGACAGCCTCCAGCTCAGCCTGCACAGGGAGGTTAACTTGAGAACACTGCAGCGGTGTTGCTGCACAGGTGTTGCTGCAGGACTGCCTTTCCGCTGCTGAGTTCGGCAAACAAGTCGGGAGACAAACACGCACAGCGCTTCGGAACTTGTTTTAGCTCGGGAATTGGGCAATGGCAAAGAACTCCAGCAAGTCCCTTCTTACATCTTCTTACTATATACTGGGACATTCTGAAGGGCCAACCAGTCCTCTGCCCTAAGACACAACCCTGACTCCCAAAACAATGGCCCTACCATTCTGAGAATGGATGCTCAACAGGGCCCAGCATCCAACAGTGCGAAACGGCTGAAAGACCAACTGATACAGTAAAGACTGTGGATGAATAAAGCCCCCTACTAGAATGGTTTTACATCTCGACAGGATGAATGGTTCAAATCAACGGTTTTCAGGATGAGTGGTTTTACATTTCTTCGGGATTGTGCCAATCAGTCTACAGCAGGGATCGACCTGAGCGATTGCAATCTTCACCTGACGGACGAAATGTTTCTCGCAACAACAGCTGCTGCTACTAATCCTCCCACTCCCACTCCCACTGCCACTGCCAGTGCCACCACTACTACCACTACCACTACCACTACCACTACCACTACCACTACCACTACCACCACTACCACTACCACTACCACTACGACTACTACTACTACTACTCCTACTACTACTCCTACTCCTACTCCTACTACTACTACTACTACTACTACTACTACTACTACTACCGCTACTACCGCTACTACCACTACTACCACTACTACCACACCACTACTACTCATCGCGTCTGGCCTCACCTCACCAAAGACCTGAAGCGCCCTCCAAAACACCCTGAAGCGCCCCACCAATTCCAGGAGAAAGTGCTCTGATGGAGATGAGCTCTACAATGTGCTTGAAGGCCCCAGTCCCACACCTCCAACTCTAAGCTGCACGAAAAATCATGCTTTGTTCTGGACCCCGAAACAGCCTTCAAGGTCTCGTGGCCACCCATCTTCGTCTCCACACCCAAGGCCTCCTCCTGACAAGGCGTTCTTTTATTGAGGCGGTCTCTCCAACGTTGGACGGTCATGAGGATTGGCCTGATGCACTTACGGAACCGTGAAAACAATATACCCCTGAGAAGGAGATTCATCCACATGGAAAGTAGAAAATCACAACAAGCACATTCGGGACACCCTTGTCCTGTTGGTCACCTGAACAGAAATCGTTTGGAGGAAGTCACCGCCAGAGCCTAGTCTGGGACTTCTGGGTACTGTATATAGTGTCGGAAGTAGTAGGTGAAACATCCCAACATCAGGTCCTCCTTCTTCACCAAAACGCCTTTCGCTGCCACCACAGCCTGGTGGCCAAGTCATGTGCGAAACATCGAACAAGTGCGACAGGTCAAAAGCCAAAGCTCCTGCGATTTTACGAGGACCGGATACCACCATGAAGAATCTTCATAACTACTTTTGAAATCGGTTCTATCTCTCCACTACACACCTGCCAACCTGCCTGCGAGCTGGATTTCAGCGCAGCATCCTTCTCTTCCGAGTGATCCTGCGCCTCCTGGACTTGAAGAAGTCGTTCACAGCATCGGCTTCATTGACCGCACGAACCCAAATTAGCTCGAAAGCTAGAAGACTCCCTCCAAATAACTGTGCATCACTGTGACACCCGAACTCGGCATTCCCTTTGGCGGACCCTAGGAGCGAAGGAGGTTCGTCGAGTCCTCGGCCACCTCAGGGAACGAGGCACCCAGCAACACAGCGACCAACAGCTTCAGATTCTAAACCTCCGTTGCAAGGTATGTCGCCACATCCAACCCATCCGTTTCGGATCACGGCATGTCTGACAAAAAACCAAAAGCGAGGACGAGTCGCTTCGAGTCGCTTCGGACGGCGCGAACTCTTGTTCCGTGGTCCTTCAACTTCGCTTGGGCCTTGGTGACTTCCTCCACCAGCTGCTCCTGCCGAGACACGTGGTGCGTGTCTCGACACCGGTGCCACGGTTGGATCCACAAAAGCAGAATGGGAACTGGTAGACCACAGCTGGTCGAGGAAGACTATGGAAGAACTATCCTCAGCTCATCTTCTTTGACATGCCGGTCCCATGCTACTTTGCCAGGAGGGGAATGATTGAGTATTGATTGCACAAAGGTCCTGTTACTGCCCCAAATCCTTTCTAAAAGAAAGTAATGGTTTCAACTCCAACTGTTTGAAGACCCGCTTCGAACATCTTCCCTAAGAAGCGGTACTGCATGACTTGACTCAGGCAAGTCCAGCATCCATAACTAAGAATGGTGAACATGGTAAAAATCATGGAAAATCATATAATTCCTCATAATCAGTGAAGAACTTGAACACCATGGTGAAGGACTTGTCCTAGCTCTTCAACTCTTTTGGTGACCTCCGTCGATGACTCCGCTGCCTTAGAGTTCGTGATGGTCTGCACCTTGAGCTTCTCGGCCTCCAAGGCCTCCAGCGGAGCAAAAACGCAGAAACGGTGCGAAGTCCGACGCGCCCGGGTGGACGTCTAAACGAGTCGCAGTTGAGATGCGAAGCATGAAGCATGCGGACTGTCGGACTCGGACATGACAAGTGCTGTGCTTTGGACTGTCGGTCAGCTGTGATTCTCTATGGGAGACCCCGGATGCGCCGCCTTTGTTCACCTGCAAGGTGTCCAGCCAGGGCTCAAGCTGGAGAGTGATTGGCACTGTAACAGTGACACTGTTTGTGTGTTCAATCATTCCAGTGACCTGTGAAAATCCAGGGCCTCTTCGTCATGAGTCCAAAGCTCGAGGTGGGGATGGGTCCAACCTAGAGTTTTTTTCCCACTTCTAACATTGGTTCTCAGCCCTGCCCAAGCCATCTAGAGATACCCAGATCAAAGAGAACTGTTTTGAGTAACTCTGTTCCAAACATGGGAGGAAACGTTGACCGACTCGCTATGGCCCTCAGTCACACAGTTCGCAGTAGCATTAAATAGAACATAATCATTGAATGCATGAATGAAATCTTCTTCCGGCATTTGAAAGTAAATGTTTCAAGTTGTTTCAAGCTTGCAATTTTGCCCTACCTTTTGCTGGTTGCTCGGCCAGCATCTGTGAATAAGTTGTATCGATCTCCAGTGGCACCCGCGGGTATTGCCTATCCATCATATGAGTGGCAGACAAAACTTCTTTGTGTCCCCAATACCAAGAGTATTTTGGGTTGGCCCCTATCATACCAGTGTCCAGTGTTTTGGAATGCAGGCAACAAGCTACCTTCAACTTGAGGCCAGGGGGAGGAGGTCGAAAGCTAGCCGAATCGCACCGGATGTGCTAGTCACATAGTCGGGAAAGCATGTAGTGAGTACATGTTCTGGGAGGAAGGTTGCTATGTACATACTTTGCGCTAAAGAATGTAAATGTGACATCGCTGACTGGGACTGGGAAGGGTACATTGGAACAACCCGGGTGCACTCGTTGGCAGGCACGAAGATGCGTGATCGGCCAATCTGGGGGGTAAATTTACCCTCCGCTTTTGTATGCCTTGAGGGGTAAGCATGTCTGACATCATACGGACTGTACATACACTAGGGCGTCCGTAGTGTAGGAGAAGCACGGGTAAAAGGTATATGGAATAGAGTGTCTTGAGGAAATAGCCGGCTTATGGTTATTGCAAATCTGGGGGGTAAATTTACCACCCGCTTATGTATGCCTTGTGCCGGAAAGAGGAGTAAGCATTTCTGGCATCACAAGGACTGTGCAAACACTAGGGCGTCCGTAGTGTAGGATAAGCACTGGTAAAAGGTATAAGGAGCAGAGTGTCTTGAGGAAATAGCCGGCTTATGGTTATGGCAAATCTGGGGGGTAAATTTACCCCCCGCTTATGTATGCCTTGAGCCGGAACGAGGGGTAAGCATCACAAGGACTGTGCATACACTAGGGCGTCCGTAGTGTAGGATAAGCACTGGTAAAAAGGATGTAAAAGGTATCAGGAATAGAGTGTCTTGAGGAAATAGCCTGTGTATGGTTATAGCAACCCTTGGGAGTAAATTTACCACCCGCTTATGCATGCACTAGGTTAGAAATAGGGTAAACAACTTGTAAGGGTGAAGTACAAGTCCTATGCAGCAAGCAGCAGCCAGCAGCGGCAGCAGCAGCAGCAGAAGCAGAAGCAGCCGCCTGCAGCCAGCAGCCAGCAGCAACCGCCAAGCAGCCAGCCAGCAGCACCACGCAGCAGCAGCGCAGCACCAAGCCGCAGCAGCAGCAGCAGCAGCAGCACCAAGCCGCAACAAGTAGCAAAGCATGAACTACCTCAAATGATCTCAAATATACACGCAACTCATTATCATTATACCTATCAGTTTGTTAACTTCTGCATTGAATGAGCCACTCGAACCAGCAAAACGACGCCAACCCTGGACGGAGGCTGAAGGAACGACGTAGCATGGAGGTGAAATGGAGCGTGCTCACCGTAGGACATGCCTTGACCAAGGATTGTAGATGCAAACAATTGCACAAACATATGCACACCTTGCCGCTGTCTGAACACCAGCAGAGCTATCACGCAATTCATTCAGTGGAATGGTGGTATGCACCACAACAATAAGCGAAGCGGCGCAGCTGGGAGTTGAACCGCGGGGGGGGGTTAGCTTGATATATCAATCTTTAAGGCACGCAGCCCCTCCCACCACAACATTGCTAAAGCAAAGAAGAACTCAGCTAGCATGCTAGCTTTCGTGATCAATCAAGAAAGGCTGTTTTGGGTTAGCCCTTATCGGTTTTGCCAGGTTTTGATCCATTCAGAAATGAGTAAGGCAGCTCATGACTGGAGTACATGTACGGAAGTCTTGTCGGATGCTCATCTCATCTCATACTCTCCAGGGGATCCATCCGAACTCAGTTCAACGCAGCTGTCCTCAGAGTGGTCATGTTTGGTCCGGTGACTCATAGGGCGTTAGGGTCAAGACCCATGATCCAACCTCCAAGCTGAGGCTAAAAGGATCGGGAAACCATCTGCACTCACCATCTGGGGACAAAAACATCTTCACCTCCCTCCCACATCTAGCCACTGACACCATCTGACCCCTGTACATTTTTCAGTGGGGCTTTCCAAACTGCCAAGCTTCTAGGCTGTCTCTACTGAGCTCTACTGCTTCTCATTTGCTTCACCTCTCAAGCTTCGCCTCCTGAAGCTTCGCCTCCACCGTCGCCACCACCTCCGCCGATGCGGAGGTAAGGCGGAGAGAGCGCCTAAAGTCTTGATCACTCGTTCCGTTGTATCACGTATCACGCGCGGCGCCCATGACTAAGGACATTTGTATATAGGAAACAGAGGAAACAGCCCCATGCGACCAGACGACCAGGTGTTTTCGCAAGATTTTCTCACAGGATCATCAAAATCTTGCTCATCCATGGCAGTTGTGGGAAGATACCGATACCTGTTCCAGAGATGGATCTATGAACCTCCCCTCCATTGCCTGTCAACCAGCCACACACGTCCCGGTTTCCCCGCACCTTTCACCGGGTCCGGCGTTCCGAGTGCGTGCGGCGTGCGGGTCGCCTCTCCAAACATCGTCACGGCCAGACGTTGGACGTCCTGGCGGTTGGAACGAGTGACGAGCTGGCGGCTCCGGGCCGTGAGAAGCTGCCCCCCCGATCGCCCACGGGTCGCCGTCGGTCGGTCGACGTCGAGGCCTGGGGACGACATGGAAGTTCCGTTCTGTCCAGCCCCAACAGCATAGGTCCGATGTGACTGGGGACTAAGTCTTCTTCTCGCACATGCGATATGTGCGATGCAAAAGGCATGGCAGCTCCTCGCGATGGTCATCCGGCACGCACAAGCTTTGCCTTAGCATGGGTGTATGGTGTCTTTCCCAAAAACAATCAGTGACAGTGTCAATGGGAAACCTGAAAAGCCCCGATTCCTTCACCCCTCAAAATGGTAAGAACTGTGAGAAGCTGACTCTGTCCATCAGACCCTGGAAGAACCCTGAAACCAGTTTCATGGTCAGACCCTGCTTGGAAATTTTCCAGACAGACCCATGGTCAACGTGGGTACCGACGAGATCAAGGTCGGCTCAATGTGCTTTGACCCAGGGTCTTGCGACAGGAGCCTGAAGCTAGCCGATGTTCGTTGACCAAAACAAGAGAGCCCTCTGCCCTTTTCGCATCATGCTATGCTAAATACAAAGGGAAATCTGCAGGTGTCAGTCTAATTGGACTCTTCCCAAGCGAGTTCTAGACCCCCAACCGACGGCAGCCATGTGATAATCTGAGCTTCCGTGCGGCAGCATGGCCAAGAGCATCTTCTTGCAGTCCTTGCGTGAGGACTTCACTAAGCTCTCGCCAATTCCTCCCTCCAGGGTTCCCCCCCAATGATGCGATTGACGTGCTTAGCCTTTCAAAAATGTCCAAACCCACAGCAAATCACACCTCCACCCACCAAAGGCAGGGGCCCCACAGGGAGGGCCACCCTTTTCACCAAGGATCCTCGGGCAGGTGGCTGGTGAGTGGATGCTCCAGTACCTGCCAACACCAGGAAGTTGGCATCGCTCCAGGGTCCGCCCGACAGGATGATACCGATTCTGTGGTGTTTTGGTGAGCAAGATGTCTTGCATCCACCAATGGCGTGCCAAGGTGGATGACATGTCTATGCTCCACGGGTGTTCATGGTTCCTCAATCGGGCTGCTGTTGGAGATTCAATGTGAGAGCCAAATTCATAACAGGGAGGGACCATGTGTGGATAATCTGCATAGACAATGGTGCTGGAAGAATCTGAAGTGGTTTCAGATGCACATCCCCGGGCTGCATGCAAGACATGATTTCGAAGACGTTGGTGCAAGAAAGAGTCAAGTGACTCTGAGTAAAACACCCCATCTTTCCATGGAAAATGGAGAACACTCCTTTGCCCATCATGTTCTCTTCTTTTTGAAGCAACACAGCATCTTTATCTTCAACATCTGAGCTCCACCACTTGCGGAGGAAATCCCGCGGGGACCGGCTCGCAGCGACCGGCGAGCCGCGCACGTCCGCCATTTGCTTGAAGGAAGCCTGGCGGCGGCTTAAAAGATCTCCGCCTAAAATCCAAAGCTGCTACTGCTAATGGCGCATCAAAGCGCATGGAAGCGGATGAAAAAAGAGAGCCCAAGCCAAATGGCATCCTTAGCCGCTCAAATGTGGAGGGATGTACTTCTTGCATCTGGGAACCTCTAGCCTCTTCATGCATGAAGCCCACATTCGGGTGCGCGCGCGCAGCTTAGCTTGCGCATGGCATATAACAGATCGTCATCACAAACAGTCGGACTTTAAAAAAAATACACTGAAAACCCATCTGCCATGGTTTAGGTCTCGACTGTCGCTCTTGTGTAAAACAGCCTGCCTGTCCCAAAGATGCCCCGGTCCCTCGCCACCAAAACGAGGCAGAACCCGAAAGAGACTTCGCCGGTCGTCACCGGACGTTCAGAGTCACCCACCTGCGTCACGCCGTACTTCTTCAGCACCGTGGCGGCCTTCTTGTGCGGTGGTTCCTCCACTGCGGGCCTCGGCGTGTGCGGAAGTGTTCCTCTACCGGATGGCTGCGAGTTGGTTTGATGATACTGTGCGGATGCGCCAAAACATGGCGCACAAAATGCGCATGGCTTTGGCCGCTCTTTCTGCCTAAAAGCTGAATCCGTCGGACTCATTTTGGCTCACAGGCGAGGGCTGACCTCGGAGGGCTGACCTATGTGAGTTCGCGAGGAAATCCAAAAGGATTTCAGGTAAATGAACATGTTTTTTGCGAAAACGGTCTATCTGTGCATTTGGGGGGTCTATCACACCAGCAAACTTCCACTACAACTCCAATTCACATAGTAAGACTTACGATGGATCAGTGCTCCTGCACTACATGCGTTCCCACTGCGAATCTCTACAGTGGATCCAAATGCAGGACTTTGTCAAGGCAGAGTTCCTTCACTGAAAAACCACTGAGGCGGAAGCGCGGCGCGCTTGGTCTGAGTCTGTCCCTTGCCTCGGCGGTGTCGCTTGGTATCACAAGAAATGGACCAGGATGAAAGACTCGAAAGAAGAAAACAAGAAAGAAACCACCAGGCTGTGGAAATCAACAGCCCTGAAGGCGTCCAAAAAGAGCCTGCTGAACCCCCAAAACTTGGAGTCAACAGCCTTTGTAACCTCTGCAGATCCAGGTGTTTTCGCTATTTTCTTTCGAAGAATCGTTGCTGATTGGACTTCATCCAGTATGTTCCATGGTATTTTTGTATGCAACCCTCCACTGGAGCCGAACATGGCTAAAACCTCACCTCACCTCCTGAGCCGAAACTCATGTGACCCGGACAAGGAGGAATACAGCCTGTTCGTAGAGGAAAACCGTCTTCCATGCCCCCAGGTTCCATTTCATGTTTTTTGGATGGACTGTAATTTCACCAAACTCACCTTTGATCTACCACAGACTGTGGCCAGGCATGTTTGATTTTCTGTGTACCACCCTACCCGCCGGGTCAGACGACATCTTTCAACCTCTTGCCAAAATTGAAACATATCAGAGGTTCATTTGGGATCAACCAGTTTCTGGATGTTTCTGGCCATGGCCTTCAGACAGTACCTGCATGGCCTTGCACATCATCTCTGCTTTGGCTTCTTCTATCGCTGCGACCCCCCGGGACCACCTCCACCACCTCCCCTTCTGCAGTGCTGCGTGCGGGTGCCATGGCAGTCTGGGGAGTCAGTTTTCACACAGATCGGCAAAGATTTGCACAGCCAAATGCTGCAAGTCGGTTAAAAACCGAATCGATGGGTCAAAACACTCTATCAACATCTTCCAGGATTTGCGCAACGTTTGTTGGTTGCGGTGCATACCATCCAACTGCTCACAAACTCTGGAAAGACTTGAGGGATCTTGCCCTTCAGGAGTTTTCTGTTGCAAATAGGTCAAAACTCGTTTGGCAGTTGTGGAACTGAGGAGAGAAGCCTATGCCCCATGTCTTTGCCGGGGCCTTCAGTTTGGAGGAAATCCCAGTTCCAAGACTAAAGTTCCTGGCAAAGGTCACAAACCATTGAGGATCACTGGTGAGTCGGCAATCAATAAGAAACCAAAGCTGCAACAGCATCCACCGACAGGTTCCTGCCTGCTCAGCACTAAAGAAAAATGGACTCGTCCAGGGATCTGCCCAACTTACCCCGGTCGCCACAAAAAAAAAGTGGTGATGGTCTGGAGTCTGGAATGTCCTTACGGTTGGAAGAGCCCTATAGATACTCTCGCAAACCAAAGATAAGGTAACCCCATGTACCCCCACACCCTTCGAACGGTCCGAACCTGCCCAACCCCTCCACCCTTTTTCTCGCTCCAATCCCGCGTCACCCAGCGCGACGGGGCGTCCGGGCGCAAACGGGGACGTCGGTGGAGCCAGCGGGTTCCGACCGGAAGACGGAAGATCTGGGCGTGGCGGTGGGCCAGTGGACATCTGAGTGGTGAGTGCAGTGGTCGCGCAGGTCGTGACCTTCAGTGACCTTCAGTGACATGGATGCAGCAGGATGAAGGACTGTGTTGCGATCTCTTCATTGACGGGATGCTCAACAGGAGCTTTAAAAAGATAAAACTCCTGAGTTGTCGAAAGTTCCCACCCGTAGCGGATTCCGCTCTTTGTAAAAGAGAAAATGACTTACACACAAAAGCAGATTGGGTAGGTGATGGAAGTGATCCCCTCAGAACTCTGACTGGGACTTGACTGGAAAGGGCATTCTTGTCAGCCATGCAAAGAAGCTCCTGATGAAACTCCCATCTAGGATCTGTGCTGAGATTTTGAGGCTTCCAGAATAATATAATATAACCTTTTACAACATGTCTGGAATACCCGCCTGTTCTGGTGGTGCTTGGTTCTGTTCAGGAGATGTCGTCAGGTCATTTTTGTCGTTCGCTCTACACGTTCGTGGCTGCATCGAACGCACCGCCCCGGTCTAGCCGAGTTCGCACCGGTCTGGAATCTGCGACTCAGTGGACCCCCATCAGACCGGTCGAACAGCGTTCACCCAACCCTTCGGTGACCGGCCGAACGTTTGGTGCCTTGGCATTGACCGACCGGTCCTCCAAATCCCAATGCCTCGATTAATGCCTCAGTAGTTACATCCTTGCCCCTACCGGTCACTGTTGAATCCCCCGGGCAAGACATCTCTTACTGGACTCCTGGTCTTTGCAAAGCTTTCACCCAAAATATCCATACCCAAGATTACCCAAGTGCTTCTTCGCGTGTTTTTGCTTGGGCAAAGGTAGAAGTACCATGCTGTCCATCCAATCGCCGGCCTTCTTGGGGGCAACTGGGTTTTCATGCGCAAGCGAAAAAAGGGAAAGCTGGGCTCCACAAAGTAGACTGTCAATAAAACCCCCTGGCCGAGAGATGCAAATTCATTCTGGATTTGGAAGGGGGGGTTTTCATCGGTCGATCTACATGACGCTGGACCCCACCAAAAGCTGGGCTCTCTTGATATCGATGCATAGGAATCCCTAGGAACGCGTAGGTTGCCGAACGGCGAACTCGGCGAACTCGGCGAACTCGGACATGGACCTCTCGCTTCAATAGACACGGACAATGGGACAAACTGGCCCCGATCAGCTCCCGTTTCGGGTCCTTTTTGTCGGAAGCACCGAGCAACTGTGTGTCCTAGTCATGAACTCGCTGAAGAAGATCTTTCGAGATTCCAGGCCAGTGTCTTCAGTGCTAACCACGCCCTTTGGGTTCGAGCTGCACGCCCTCAGGATCCTGTCAGCTTCGCAGGATCGAAAGCAAGGCAGATTCGCAGATGTTGCCGATTCCCTAGATGGTAGTGATTTGTGAGCGCCTCCCAAAGCAAGCAGCATGCAGTAGGGAGACCTCCTAGAGACCTCCCGGAAGGAGGAACATAGACTAAAACCCGTTAGTTGGCATCTCCCTAATGAAAGACGGAACCCAACATCTCCTTTCGGGGTGAGTGGCACAACCAAGGACGATCCGCGGCAAAAGATGCTTTGTTGGGTACGGTCTTTGCCTCACAGAAAGGCATCAATGGAGAACCCTCAAGACATCTAGTGTAGACTCTTATACATTCCAAACCCCCATGTATAGAGGCATTCCCTTGACCAGGCACCTGAACAAGTCCGGAACCTGGCCCGGACTTGGGGGAACGATACGAACGGGCGCATATTGCCTTAGCCTCTGAAGTTGTCCTTGATGTGCTGTGCAATCCTGAAAGCGGATGGGCACAAACAGGGGCACGTCTTGTTTCGGGAGGCTCATGCCATCGCGCTTACGTGAAGGAAGCGTATACCAACCGGCAGGGGCACATCATAGTGCATCATGGTGCGGAATGTGCATCATCTGTCCATTTGCCTCCCACACCTTCATTCACGGATCTTTCTCTCTCATGTTCGCCAGCCCTGAAGGAGTCTTCCTCAGTGCTCCTGCTACGCTTCCAAACGCCCGGATTCCCTCCAAACCCCCCCCTTCTGCGCAGGCCCCTGTCTGTTCTCCGTCCTCCAGCGGCTACCGCCGAACCGCCGAAACCGCCGTCCCACCCCACCCGGCGCGTGCCGTCGAACAGAGCGGGTCCCGCACACCGTCTGCCCGCGGGCGCGCGCGGTCTGTCTATACCCTCCAAGAGAGGTTGAGAGACCAGAACTAGGAGCCTGTAGTGGTATATATGGGATGGGCTATAGGCTAGGATGGGCTGTTCCACCTCTCTTGGCTTGTTTGCCCCCAAAAGCCAAAGCGTCTCTTTGGCTGTGGGGAAGTCGAACATCAACGTGGAGGGCATCGCCACGCCTCGGAACTCCTGGCGAAACGACGCGTGGCACGAAGCCGAGCGAGTGACGTGACGTGGCACGACAACGAGTGACGGGTGCGGTGCCGAAGCGGCGTCGGCTGGTGGAAGCTGGAGATGTTCCACAAAAATCCCGGGAAGTGGAAATGGTTGCTTCTCAAGGCGTGGAGATTCGCTCGCAGCTCTCAAAAGGCGTGGAGGGCCTCGACCCATGACCCATTCCGAAGCTTGACCAAGGGACACCCGAGAGAGCACAGCCGGTTCAAGTCACAAGGTGGTCCCATGGCACGGAAACCGTGCGTGAACCGCGGCGCGACGGTCTCCCGGGCCTTGGTGAGCGTGTTTTGGAACTCCACCGAGGCCAAGGAATCCAACCCCGCGTCCATCAAGGCACTGTCCTGGATGAAGAACGACGAGCAAACGACGAACTCCATTAAAGAAAGAAACAGACGGAGAATCCCCGGGAAGGCTGGAAGAAAAGTCCATCCAAAAACATCGAATTGGAGTTTATGATTAATAGGAGAATTGTCTCTACTGGAAATCCATCTAGTTTGGGGGTGAACCAATCCATTAGATTCCAGAACATGTGTCCTGTCCAATCAGTCCTCAAAAAAGACCTGCTCAAAGACACATATTTCTTCTTTCCATGTACTTGCTTGGTGGTCTTCGCATGGCACTGCATGCAGAGCAGCCAAAAACGGACAAAAGCTACGGCAGACACATGAAAAGGAACCCCTTTCAAGTCCTTTCAAGTCCTTGTCCTGGGTAGAACGAAAGGATCAAAACGGTACACACGTTTCGTGGCTCCACCGCTCCACTGCCGGCCGACCGGACGTCCGCTCCAGCTGCAGCTCGTCGCTGCCGATGAGCGACATGGCGATGTCCTGCACCTCACAGGGGACGAGACGGGTCGACGACGGACTCCTCCGGCAGATCCGGAGGAGGTCCACTGGAGGACCGGTCCTATGTTGGTAATATCGTGGATGGGCAGCGACAGGAAGGAGAGGAGACCCCTCTGACGTGATCTGTTTGGGGGATGTGGCCACCATAAAACGGGACTTCTTCATACTTGGCGGGGAGAAAACCCGAACAAACAGCCCCAAACAACTCGTGAAGAAGAACGGCTATGGGCCTGATCGGCGATTTTTCGTGGACTCGCCCTCCTTGGTTCGTTCGCTCCTGCGTCCTGTGAGTCCCTCTTTTCCTTCGGTGCCCGGGCCGTCTCTTCGATCTGCTGCAGCGTGGGCCCGCCCTTGGGCGGCGCCACCGGGGCGGCCGGCGCGGACGCGGCCGCCGGTGGCGGCGCCATGGGCGAAGGGCCTGGGAGAAGAGGACCAGGAATCCATGTAGAGGGATGCTGGTGGCAAGCGGGCTTCCGACGACAAAGGGCTCCAGGTTGAACAATTCAACCAGTGCGACTGTGACCCCCACGCGCCTGGGCCCGGCCCACCGGTGCGCCCACCAATGCCGCCAGCACCATACCTGGGAGGGGCCGATCCCCAACAAAACCGGCCTATCGGGCCTATCGGGTGCCTATTTGGGGTCATACCTGGATGGATTCCTCAGATCACCTGGGCCGCGGGCCGGATCACCAGGGCCCTTCAGTATGTTCCTTCGAACACTGACCGTCTCGGCCGAGGCCCTCAGAGGCGCCGAGATCGACAGCGAACATCAGTCGAGTCCAGAACCTCAGTCGCCCAACTCCACCGATCACCCCTCCTCCCCGCGCTCGCTCGGGTCGCATCTGTGACTCCGAGGGCATCATCGGCATGGGCGTGGCCTCAGAGGGGTCGGTGTGGGTCATGGCATCAAGACTCTTCTGCCAAGATGAACATGGCTGTACCGAACGGTTGACCGAGCTCAGCCAAGACTCGTCGCGCCCGTTTTTCGGGCTCGTTCTTCGCGACCCATCCACCACATCGGTCGACTGAAGAACCTCCGAAACCATCCCAACTTGGCATCAAAGGTCCGCGATCGGTCCAGGCCGCGGACCTTTGAACCCACATGTGGCTTTGGGATGTACCGCTCGGAACATCTCGCTTGAAATTTGGGTCGCTTGAACCTTGGTCTAGAGTCTAGAAAAAGGATGAAAAAGGCATGGGTCGCTTGAACCAGGGCCACCCTTGGGTCCCCTGGCAGCTGTAATGCCCATCTCCTCCTGCTCCCTCTGTTGTCTCAAGTAATCCCCGTCGATGATCTCGCGCGCCTGCTCCTGGGTCTGGACATGATACGCTCCACATCACGGTCGAAGCCCACCGGCCGGGAACCGCCGGTGTCGTGGGAAGAGATCTACAACGGAGGGATCGGAGGGGGCCTGTAGGGCCTAGGTGTTGGATAAATCACCTAAATTAAACTCCCTGAAATCATCCTGCGCCAACGTGGAGAGCATGGCTCCAAGTTCGGATGACCATCAAATCCGAATACCAAACAGGTGGTGAACTGCATAGACTTCATAGAAGGTCAATAAAGATGCATGCTTCACTGTACACCTACCAATTTTAATGCGGGTCAGAAAGGCAGGCCTTGAAATGATGGAGGCACCATTGAATAACACCAGTAAAACGCCATGCGCTTTCGGAAAAAACCAACGGCCGGAACATCTGCAGGGCTTCCATCTCGTCCATCGACAGAGGCGACGCATAGCTGAGCTTGGCGGGGATCACGTGGAAAAGGACCCGGTCTTCGGAAGACATCGACGCCTCTTGGTCACCTCGGTCCTCAACTTGGGTGTCTTTATCTGGGTCCTCTTTATTTTATGTCATCTCTTATATGTCATGAAGAATAAACCGATTGGTTAATGTTGTAGATAAAGGTTGCTTTTTATGATGGTTACCTTGTTTAATCTATATCTTTTATTAGTTCGAGAGCACCAGTGAAAAACAAAAGGCAACCCCTCACTCCCTTTTTTGGAGGAGGCAAACACAAACTGGCACCTTGTCCTTCTGGCACCACTTTCCAAGAGACTAAAGGAGTCAGAGGAGAAAAACACAAACCAGCATAAACCCCAACAGTAAACTGTTTGGGGAATCAACAACTGGATCGTACGCAACGCAAGAGCTGTCGGTTCCCCAGCGCGGCAGCCCTCCAGCTCTCCGCCCCCCTTCTCACAACAGCATGGCTCCATGCCCTGCTCGTTGCCCATCTCTTCGAACATGTCCCGCGATTTGATCGCGTTCTGCGTGCAGCACGCGGCGCGCGGTCTGCGAACGCGGTGTTTTTCTGCAGTCAATGGGGGGGGGGCCTTGACGCCAGCCTTTTTGTCAGTGCTGGCCTTTCTCAGGAGATCTGAGCATCCGGGTGTGAATTGCAGGTAAAGACCTTCTGGGAGTCAAAGACTAAAGAAGAATGGTCTTGAGGGGACCTGAGTTTGGGAACTTCCTTTACTTCAGCCGGTCAACATATAGTCGAACTGGACTTCTATGGGGACCCCTTTGGCAGGTTTGAGGTGTCCATTCACCAGTTTACCCAAACCTTTTGTGGGTTTTCGGGGGGTCGTTCGGGTGGATTCCGACTGACTCGACTCGATTCCGCGGAGTCTGGTTTGGGGCTTTCAAAAGCGTGCTTTTCATGAAAGAACTCCTGAAAAGACACCCTTCCATGGCACCAAAGAGCACACATTGATGTGGTTTGTTTCACCTAAGGGTGCCAGACCGAGATGCTCCCTTCCTTCATTCACAATCCTCCACCGTCCAAAAACCTTGGGGGAGGTGAGAGGTTGGACGTGCTCTTGCGAGTTGGTAAGACCAAGAGCTGTAAAGAACAACGGTTTGGATATCCGCGTGATGAATGGAGACCCCGTGTCCAAGGGGGTGCACGAACGCCTGAGCTTCATGGTCGCAGAAAGTCACGAACGCCCAAAACGTCGCAAGTGGACTCTTGAATTCAGAGTCGCCATCGTTCCTTTTTTGGCCCATGCTGGATCCAAATCGTCGAAGTCACTGGAAACTGCCGTCTGGCCATGGAGCAAGATCGAAACTCCAACCAGCTCTGCATCAACCTTGTCAGTTTGACCAGCTCGGCTTCCAACGGATCCGAATGGGGCCGACCTCGCCAAGACGTCGCCAAGTTAACCTTCCACACTCAGCGCCTGTGTTCCGAGAATGTGTCAGATCTTCGCCTTCGCAAAAATGAGAAGATCCGAAGATCTGCTGCAAGACGGTCGGTCGGTCGATCAGTTCTCCTGTGAATGTCGTGAGTCGGTCAATCTCTCAAGTGTCACAGTCTCACAATGTTCGAAGCTGACTGGACATGCAGACTGGGAGAGGCGCTTCAAACAAAATTTGCAGGCGGTCATTTTTGAAACAACGTTGTTCAAAATGACCGCTTGCAACTTTTGCTTCATATACAGTGTGTATATATATATATACACTCTTTCGCATCATGCTCTGACGAATAGCTGGGTCGTCAATCAGAGCTTGCAGTGCTTGGCTCCACTTTTGCCACCGATGCCGTCAAGCAACTTCTGTGCTTCCTGCCATTGCCCACTCTTCTTGCCAGCCCCAACGGCGACCTTGCAGCAAATGAAAATTGGCTGCGCTCATGGCCTCAAACAACTTCAATGCTTCCCGCAACTGTCCGCCCTTCTCGCAGGCACTGATGGCTGCATTGTAACTAACGACGGTTGGCTGAACTTTCGCCTTTGGCATGGCCTTAAACAGATTCAAGGCTTCCTGCCATTCCCCACCCTTCTCACAGGCACTGATGGCTGCATTGTAAGTAATAACATCTGTCTGCACTCTAGCCATTGGCATGGCCTCAAACAACTTGCATGCTTTCTGCCATTGCCCGCCCTTCTCGCAGGCACTGATGGCTGCATTGCAACTGATGACATCGGGCTGCAAATTTGCACCTGGCATGGCTTCAAACAACTTCAACGCTTCCTGCCATTCCCCACCCTTTTCACAGGCACTGATGGCCGCATTGTAACTAATGACTGTTGGCTGCACTTTCACCATTGGCATGGCCTCAAACAACTTCAATGCTTCAAGCCACTGCCCGCCCTTCTCGCAGGCACTGATGACTGCATTGCAGCTGATGACATCTGGCTGCACATTCGCACACAGCATTGTTTCAAACAACTTCAATGCTTCCTGCCACTGCCCGCCCTTCTCGCAGGCACTGATGGCTGCACTGCAGCTGATGACGTTTGGCTGCCCTTTGGCCTTTGGTATGGCCTCAAACAACTTCAATGCTTCCTGCCACTGCCCGCCCTTCTCAAAAGCACTGATGGCGGCACTGTAGCTGAAAACATCTGGTTGGACTTTCGCCACTGGCATGGCATCGAACAATTTCCAAGCTTCTTGCCATTGCCCGCCCTTCTCACACGCGCTGATAGTCGCGCTGTAGCTGACTACATTTGGCTGCACTTTTGCTCTTGGCATGGCCTCAAACAACTTCAAAGCTTCCTGCCACTGCCCGCCCTTTTCGCAGGCACTGATGGCCGCACTGTAGCTGACAACATTTGGCTGTACTGTATCTTCTGGCATGGTCTCGAACAACTTCATTGCTTCCTGCCATTGCCCGCCCTTCTCAAAAGCACTGATAGCAGCGCTGTAGGTGATGACATTGGGTTGTAGTTTTGTCTTGGGCATGGCCTTGAACAGCTCCAATGCTTGCTGCCATTGTCCACCCTTCTCGCAAGCACTGATGGATGCGTTGTAGCTGATAACATCCGGCGACAACCGTGCAGTTGGAATAGCCTGAAACAACATCAAAGCTTGCTGCCACTTCCGGCTTTTCTCACAAGCACTGATGGCTCCATTGTAGTTGATGACATTTGGCTCTACGTTGGCACTTGGCATGGCCTCAAGCAACTTCAATGCTTGCTGCCATCTTTGGGCCCTAGAGCAGGCTGAAAGCCCAACTGTGTAATTGGACGCATCCAAAGTTATAGCGCCATTTTCTCTGACTGCCTCCAACATGGCCAGTGCAAAATTCCATTGCCTTCGTTCCTGAAAAGTCTGCAAGACTTGCTGAAGGTCACGTTTGGAGCATACTTCTGGCAACAGAATCGTTCCAAAATGTCCTGCCATTTGTTGACAACATATGGAAATGGAAAGGACGACGAAAAACCGAACCATATTTTATCTGCTGGTCGGCAGGTCCTAGTACAGGCTGAAGAAGCAAGATATTGTTTTCAGATGAACACTTCGGCGCTTGTTACACTGCGAACGTATGTGAAGCGATTGTGAAGCACCCCGGCAAGTGGTGGACAGGGGTTAGCGGAAAACGCAAGCTCTACATATCCATCGTTGGTTCACTCAAGCTCCCCCGGATCCACCACAACTTCACCTGTCACCAATCAGAAACCGAACCGACAATCTCACTAACGTCCGCCCCATGGAACCCCTCAGGTGGGTCCTTCGTCGGTGCTCACCCCGAAAGTGGTCTTCGCTCGTTTTCGGCGCGCGCTCCGCGGGCTCCGCGTGGAGGGGGTCATTGCGGTCGAGGCCCACGTACCGGCGGCGAGGGTGCAGCACCAAGCGGCGTGGTGAAGAGACCTTCTTCCTTGCTGGTGACCATCAGGTGGGAGTTTTACAAAGAAAATATCAATGTCCTCCACTCGCCACCCTTCTAGGACTGCACAGGAACTGGACGGCCTGACTGCGTAGCCCGAAAGCACAGTAGAAGTGAGACAGTTTTAACGGATGTTGGCAGATGATAAAGACTGAACGAAATGAAATCAATCCTAGATTCCACAGACACTGTGGTTTTGACGGATGATCCTGATGGTGATGATGATGATGATGATGATGATCATGACGATCATGATGATGATACACGTGGTGATGCTGACCGTGGTGATGGTGAAGGCGACGATGTGGGATATGAAGCTGGTAGCTGTTTTTTACGGAGAACCCTTTGCAGGAGCTTTCAGAAAAAACGGAACTTGAAAGGGGAACCGGGCAAAAAGCAAAACAGTCCGTTTTGGACACCGAACGGGTCCTCTCAAAGGCTTGGTCAACTTCAGGACTCTGCTCAGGCTTCCAAGTCTTGCTCGGCACGTTCCACTGGCACATGCCCGGTCAGGGCTGCGCCGTGAGCGCCAAAGGAGACATGTCATGGGCAACGGGCGGAAGGACGGCAGACGGTCACAAGGAACAAGGGGTCCAGAACAAAGGGCATCGCTACTAGGAGCGAGGACGCTACTAGGGGCTCCTGGCCTTACTACTAGGAACAAGAAGCTACTAGTAGCTTCTTGTTCCTAGTAGCGATGCCCGGGTTCCTAGTAGCGATGCCAGGAACGTTGCGAAGATGGCTCAGAACTTGCACCCCGGCCAATCATTACAGCATTGGACAAAACACATTCCGTCGTGGTCTGCACCGCAGTCCGTCGGGGTCCAGGGACACCGCAGAGGACCTTGCTGCCTTTCATCCATACTGATGCACTGATATGCACTGGATCTTTTTGAGCCGCACTGAGCAACGGGATTCGTTCTTTTTGCCCCATGCATGTGCTGTACTCAACAGGAAGGCACTTGGTTGAGGCATCAGATGCCCTGCCTCTGGTGCTCTCAAAACATCATGAGAGGGTTGACCCACTGCGAAGCCCTAGGTTTGGACCCATTGAGATTTGAGGCAAATACCCACTTGAATATACACTGTGGTTATCGAACAAGCCAATGTTTAACAAGATTGAGAAAACCATGTTCATGTCACACATGAAAAGGGTGCTTCCATGCGAGTGGGCATGCGAGCAGTGGCACGTCACGTCCGCACATGAGCCCGTAAGATCGCACATCCATGACGTCCACCACATGTCTGTTGAGGAGTCATGACGTCGCCATTCCCAAAGCCAAACCTCTACTTAAGTACTCCAACCCATCCAGCTTCCAATACCATCTTCAGTGATCAATACCATGGTCTGGCTTCCAATACGATCTTCGGTGTAGAAGTCAATCAGCCATGGAACATCTCACGGGACAGCAAGCTTGCAATACAGGTCTATCTGCAGTCCTACCCATTTACTGAAGTTGGATTGTTGGAGATCTTCCCCCTTTGGGGGCATTTGCAAGAATTCTGGACCTCTTCACGAGTTCCAGTGTCGGAGACAGAAGCAGAAACCCTGAAAAAACTACAGTGGTTGCCACGAGCATGCGCGAAAAGGATGAACCGCCGGCCTCTTTGGCCTTGTCGTCCTCGCCATCGCAAATACAAATCTGCGCCTCACAGGTTGCACAAAGGTCTGGTCGGTCGGAAACCTGCCGCCTGAAGATCAGGTGATTTTGTGGGATCAGGGAGCGAGCTTTTGCAGGATAAGGGAAATGTTCGGAACCTGATCTCACCTGGTCTTTTGCGGTAGTCGTCTGAAGATCAAGTGATGCTCACCTGGACATGCCGCAACTTCACAAGCCGATTGAAACGCATGCTTCTTCACAAGCGTGGCAACCAGCTGGTCTTGGGAAATGACATCTTTAGACTCCGATGCGGGCGCCGCACCCCGCCTTCAGCAGCCAGAGACTGGCCTCCTCCATGCCTTGGGACACCGGTGCCCTGTCATCTCGACCCCAAAAAGACCACTGGGAGTATCAACTGGGTGCATCCCAATGATGGTTCGGTTGCTGGGGAGACCTGTTCCCCATCCCAGTTCCATCCAAATCATGGCGTGGAAGCCCAGCCATCTGATCTTCTGATCTGGGATTCATCTTGATGGAGAAAAAAGCATGGGCGTCCTGCAGCTGGCTGTGGGAACCTTACTCATATCTTGGGTGCATCCCGTTGCCAAGGTCCAGTGGATGATGGTTAGGTTGTAGGCCTCTCTTTAAAATGATGATCATGATTTTACCAACGGCTATGCTTTTGGGGCACACTGACACACCCTGCTCAAATCCACACTCTCGAAAAGTGGGGGAAACCATGGGCCAGACCTTTTGCCCCATCACAGGTCCATCCAAATCATGGCGTGGAATGTCTTTAGAATCGCATTCTTGAGCGCACAGGAAGGAAACATCCAAAAATGCCCACTCCCGGCACCAAGAAGGCGTCCAAGTTCTCGGCTGGAATCAAACCACAGGGTTTTACTGTTCTACTCAAGTTGCTCGGCTAGAAGAAGCACCAAGATTGAGAAACCTCATGAAAAAAGGAGATGTCTTTGAACAAGAGTAGCCCTCTCCAGATCCGACCAATATAGGCCACGCGTTCGGCCGCAAAAAAAAACGCACGTTCGGCCGTGTGGTCCAGCGTGTCTGTGCCACGATGTTGTCCCCTTCGGTCGTGGTCGTGGCTCTGCGCGTTGGTCCGGAGGGCTTAGCAGTTTGTCCATCAACACCTTGAGACCGAAGCGGACCTAGCGGATCTAGCGGACCTAGCGGACCTAGCTATAGTAGCTGCTGAGTGGATCGCTGGCTTCTGGCTTTCATCCCACACGCCAGACACCGACGCAACCCCTCCACAAGTGCCCCTGAGGCATGCTAAGTGAGTCTTGGCTCTGGTCGGGACCGGAGGCATCTGCGCCGCGACCGCGTGATGGCAGTGGCCCCTGGGTACCCCGGGCGCTGGTTGTTCTTCTGAGCGATCTCCAGCGACTCTTCCACGAAGGGCCCCGCCTCACTTCCGGCGAAGAAGGGCCCCGCGCCCGCGGTGGGTGCGCCGCCGGACCAAACCGTGGGGCTCAGCGCGAACGGCAGGCACGAAACGGCAGGCGCCCCCCCCGGTTTCACGGGAAACGGTCCTTTGCATCCACGGCCGTCGCGCGATGCACCCAATGAGATGCTGCATGGTTGGACCACCCAGGGACGACTGGTGCAGCAGAAGAAAGGCTTCACAAGTTTCACTCCTCAACCAGACACCCCCACCCTGACCAAAGGCGACCGGTTTGCCGGTTTGTTCAACCAGGTGTGTCCACTGCACCATGCCTCAAACGCCTCTCACCAAACGTCCAAACGTCGCCGTCTCCTCACCCTCTCCCGTCTCAGCCGTCTGAACAGCACGGCCTCCCAGTGACGGAAGCACATGATCCTGGTCTTGGCCACCACCTCGGAGAAAGACTGACACTTCGTGGTGGTCGAAAAGGATGACAGCAAGCAAGCGAGACAGCACTCAGTGGGTCCCACCGAATGGACAGGCGAATTGGCCAAGTCTCTTCTTCCTTTAGCACTCAGTTCTGACTGACACTTCCAACTGGCGCGAATTGCCCGCGAGCTCCTCCACGAGATGTGAATCCTGATTAGTCCATGTGTATACAAAAGAACATGACCAGAATGCTCCTCTGCTTTGGCTATTCTCGCCGCCAAAACCAATCAACTGGTTTCATCTTCATGACTCACCGCCACCCACTCCGGCCTGCATGGCATGCATCGTCAACAGCTCATCGTCCGCCTCCTTGGCCAAGCGCAAGGCCTCCTCGGCGGCCTCCGCCGCCTGCGAAGCGAGTCGCGCCGGGTGGGCGGTCTGGTCGGGTGGTTTGGACCATAGCACTCCCTGAAATCATCGTGTTCACGTCTACGTGTTCGAGGAAAAGGCCCTTCAGGGGCGAAGGTGGTGGGAAGGTGGGATCGATCACGAGTCGGTGAGCCCCCGGTGTTGTTCGTTTTTGAGGACGATGACATCCAAATACCAAGGTGGTGGTGAACTCCACTGCCATGAGTAGTTTAGGGAGTGGAGAATTCGGGGGGAGCTATGGCGGAAGTGATATGTATCAAGAACCTGTGTTGCTAGGAAAATGACTTCACGTGGACTATGGCACTACCATGTTGGTATAGGGATATCTATCGTGAGACTTATTTCAGTGATCATGAAACGTGGTAGAAATCAAAAGGAACGCGGAAATTCCTGTTTCATCCCCGCGGAATGGAGGATCATCATCAGGGACAGCCCCTGAAGGCAACTCCCCACCGCGGAACCAGGTGTGGTCAAGTCAACCAGACGGCCAGACGGCTCTCCTCCACGGTTCTTCGGTCGCGGTCCGGTGTTGAACAGTTGGACGGCTCGGGAGCTTCAGCGGTCTTCAGATCAGATCATCACCGAGCTCCCACCCCAGACACCTCAACCCCAAAGCATCCACCTTGCGGCAGACTTCAGGCAGCTCCTCATCCGGCTTGAAGTCCTGAGCCCATGCGACCAAGACTGCGCGATTGTTGCATTGAAAAGCACCAAGACTGCAGGCAGCTGGATGCCTTGGAGTCGAGTCTTTGCTAAAGACCACAGAAAGCAGCAGTTCTTCTGTGATGCCAAAAGCATGGAGGCCTCTCGGCCCTGTGCGGGCGATGCGGCTCGGCCGGGCCTCCGCTTGCGTCTGCGCGAGGCCGAAGAGTGCTTCGGCCTCGGCCCAAGCCATGAAGGCCTCAGCCAGTTGTCCGGGTGGATTGGGTGGTGTCCGTTGTGGGTTTTTCAGGTTCCATGTAGGTCTCTTCCAGGTGGAACATGGAACAACAGGGGGCGACATGATCCACCACCCACAACAACAGGGGCCGACAGCTTTTGACCATGTCTCGCAGTGGTTGAAAACATCCAACTGGACCCAAGAGAACCTCCGCGGGGCAAGTGATGGTTCCTTCAGAAACGTGTGTCCTTTTGTGCAGATCATTTGGTGCGGGGAAGAGAATGGAAATGCGAAGAACCTGGAACACCATTGTCTGCATGAGCTCCCACCGACTAGCCAAGCCTGTTAAGCCCTTCGTTTTTACTTTCTGGAAGGGAACTCTTTGCAAGACTTTGGATGGGAAGATCGTTTCCTTCGTTGGTACCTACTTGTTAATGAAATGTCTTGCAAACCAACAACGCCTTCTCGACGCCGCACATGGCCACACACACCCGAACCCGCCTCTTGTCGGAAGCAAGCAGCCTCTTCAGGGCTGGCACCAATGTTTGTCTCTTCGCTCGTCTACAATAGCGTACCATCGGCCGTACCCCTTTGAATGGAGACGAACGGACAAAGGGCTCAAGTAACTGAACACCGAAAACCCGAACCAAAAGAAAAGGAGCACAAACATCTTGCGACTCCATGACTCCATATGACTCCATAACTCATCATTAAAGTGGTCCTCAAGTAGATAGAAACCGTTTCCAATCTATGGCTTCAAGACTTCAAGAAAATAACTTGACTGTTCTCTTTGGAGATCCCTTTACAGAGTCCTGGAATGCCAATTCACAACACGATGAGATCTGCCGCGCCTCGTTAAAGATCTGCCGCGCGCGCTTGGC